CGGCGAGATGGCTCAGTGGAATAAGTGCTTCCCTGGCAAGTGCAAGGGACTGAGTTCAATCCCTGGTTCTGCAAATAAAAAAAAAACCTCCACTGAAATGTGCACATTAAGACAAGGGTCAGGGTCTTCTGAATAACAAGTGGGAGAGGACACCTGTTCCCAGAGCATGGCCACTTGGGTGCACGTTGGGGACCCCTGTTTCAGTGCAGCCTCCTGAGTCTCGGGAGGTTCCTTTTATTATCTTCATTGGTGCTATGTATCTGTACTTTGAAGACATGTGTTCCATTTGAGGAAACATCCAAAAGTCAGTTGAAGCCACATAACTTCAGGAAAACTTGATATAAATGCTAGTTTCTACTCAAATGAAAGTATTTTTGTCATTAAGCATGAACTGGGAAAGTTTACTTACCAGGTACTGAAGGAGCCAATCCATATATCACCAACCCAGAGGTCCAGAACCATACCCATGTTAAAGTTTAGCAGTTTAGCAGGAAACGGCACTTAGCAGTTTCCTGAAAGCCGACTTCTTTGTAAAACAGGATATCTGGGGGCCAGTGAGATAGCTCAGCAGACTAAAGTGCCTTCCCAGGCAAGCTTTGGCAAGTGCAGAAGCCACGGTTCGATCCCCAGCACCACATACCGTACCAGCCCCAGCCCACAGGGTGGCCTGAGCCAGCCAGAGTCCAGGTGTGGTGCCCCACACCTGTAATCCCAGTGCTGGGGAGGCTGAAAGCGGAAGGATCACTATGAGTCCTGCATAGTGAGCCCCTGTAATGACCAAATACGTTTTTTAGAAAAACAAAAGACAGGCTATCTGGCAGGGCATATTGTTCCATGCCTATAACTCAGTACTCAGGAGATGGAGGAAGAAGGGTCACGGGTCTGATGTCAGCCTGGGATATATAGTGAGTTCAAGACCAGCCTAAACTGCACAGTGAGACACCCCATCTCAAAAAAAAAAAAAAAATGGATATCTGTATTTAAAGTTTCAACAAAAAAAGAAGGTTCCTGGTTCCACTGTCCTCAGTACCTCAGAAACAATGTGTAGTAGTCCCCCATCACAATTACGGGGTAATCATGGGCTTCATTATGATCTCTAGGCTAACCAGTCAGATCAGCAAGAAACTGACCTGGAAATTACGTGGGATCACATAGTTTATTCAGCCCACAGGCCCCCATTAAGGTAGGCAAGTGTCCCTTTTGTTCTAACATAATGCAGGCCTGGCCAAATTTCAAAGTTAGTTGTATTCCAAAAGTTTGTTCGCACACCAAGTGCTTTGAACTCAGAACTTTTTTTTTTTTTTTTTTTTTTTGCAGAACCAGGGATTGAACTCAGGCTCTTGCGCTTGCCAGGGAAGCGCTTATTCCACTGAGCCATCTCCCTGGCCCCAAGAACATTTTCTTCTAAACTTTCATTGCTTTGTAAATCAGGGTGCCAGTGTAATTGATCTTGGGCACTTAGCAGAAAACAAGCTAATTAAAAAGTCATGCTGCGCCGGGGAGATGGCTCAGTGGAATAACCGCTTCCCTGGCAAGTGCAGTGGCCTGAGTTCAATCCTCAGTTCCACCAAAAAAAAAAAAAAAAAAAAAGTCATGCTAATGTAGGAATTCTGGTGATTCCATAAACTCTTACAGAATTTTCACCTTTTTATTAACTTGTTAGTACTATTTCTTTGTTCTATAATCATCTGAAGAATAAAATTCTTTTCCATGACCAGAAGTTCCCTTCTACTAATGGCCTGCACTTCTGCTGTCCTTTATAGGAAATGGTGCCTCTTCCTGCCCTCACCATCTTCTTCTTTTTTGCGGCCAGCTCAGCCTGCCCTGGGGGTGGGACTGGCATGCCATCAGGTGCTGGGGATGGAACCACAGTCCCTGCGCTTTGTCTAAGCTTGCCTAAGCAGGCGCTTTAGACCACTGAGCTATCTCTCCGGCCCCCTCACCATGTTCTGATCACTTCCTGTCTCTTCCGAACTCGCTCCGGTCAAGTTTCTTTCCACCACACCACTAGAAAGATTCATGGTTGTCACTGACCCATCTCAGCCACCCTCAGACAGCTGTCTGGTGCTTGGTGCTCCAGTCTCTTGCTTGGCCTCTCAGTGCTTTCTGGCAACTCCTTCCTGAAACATGTTCTCCTCCAGGCCCGCCTCCCACATTTCCTGTACTGGCTCCTGGTTTTCTGTCTGGTTTTGTGCTGTGCCAGGATGTGACAGTTCTCAGCCCTTTCATCTGTACACTCCCATTGCTGAATTCATCCAGTCTGACAATTTTAAACAACCAATGTCCTAATGACTTCTGTACATTTCCACTCCTGCCCTTGACCATCAGACTCTCTACTACAATTACCTACTAAACACATACACTTGGGTACCTAATAATATGCTAATGTGTCCAAAACAGAATTCAACTCCTCAAAGATTACATGTCATCTTTGTCTCTCCCTAAGACATGTAAACTTTTATGTCTTCTTAAATCCCTAGGGGACTGTACTTAATAATATAGCCACCATCTATCCAGTTGCTCAACCTGAAAATCTAGAAATTATCTCTGTTGCTTCTCCTGTCCTACAGACTATCAAGTTCTGACACAGCTCTAAGTCCAAAATGCTTCGTACCCTCTGCTCGTGTCATGTTTATCCAATCTCTTGCCTGGTTAAACTGGACCAATCCAACAGTCTTCCCATTCCTATCACCTCCTGCTTCCCTAAAATCCATTCCACCCAGCACCCAGATGAGGTTCTAAAGCACAAATCTAATTGCACAAATCTAATTGTGTTAATGTATTAAAAAAGATTGTAGGGGGCCGGTGAGATGGCTCAGTGGAATAAGCGCTTCCCTGGCAAGCGCAAGGACCTGAGTTCAATCCCCGGTTCTGCAAAAAAAAAAAAAAAAGGTTGTAGTAACTTCTTATTGAAATTTTAATAAAGTGACTTTCCTTACCAGACCTGAAAGCCCTCCAGGATGGGGCTTCTTCCTTTCTACTATGTCCTATGTGAACTGCACATCAGCCCCACACTTGAGGTGTAAGTCTCTGGAACAGCCCCCTTCAAAGCCTTGGCTCTTGTTCTGCCCTATGCCTGGAGTGACCATTTCCTAGGTTTTTGCTGCACTGCCTCTTTCTTACCACCAGGCTTCCACCTCGAAGTGTACTCCAGAAAGGGACTTTCAGTGATCACCTAACATGGTCCCCAACTCCTCTTTCTTCATCTTTCCCATGACTATGTCTTACTACATAACAGGTTACCTTTTTGTTTCCCTACTTATTGAGTTCGTAAGCTGAGAACAGGACTCGGTCTATCTTGTCCACTGATGCTTCCTAAAAGTCAAAAAACAAAAGCTTGGCATGGCACATTGAGGGACACAACGAATATTCACTGAATCAATAACGGAATCAAAAATAAACGGAGAGGGGCAGGGCCATGGCTCAGTGGCATAATCCTTGCCTAACTTTCATAAGACCTTGAAATCAAGCCTCAGCATGGCCCAAAATAATTAACCAATTAGTTAATTTACACGTAAAATTTAGAGTAGTACTTGCTTAGGCAGACCAATCATTCCTAGAAACATGGCTGGGAGCCAGCTTCTCATGACTTCTGCTTATTTATAGATATTTTCCTTCCTTTCTACATCCACAAATCTAATACAATATGCCTTGGCAGAAAGACCTATAGAAATGGCCTTTAGCCATTTGTGCTTATACAAAAATATAATCGTATAACTGGGAATCCATTTCATACTGAGATCTTTAGTTAAAACTAAGCGAAGAATTTTCTCCAAGAATGCTGCAATTTCAAAATTATGTCATCACTCTTATTTAACAGATATATAAA